GATGTTGTATAGTTTGAGCGCGGGTTGAGGGAACAATCCTCTCTTTTGCGTAAAGAGAACAGCTGTGGTTTTTTGGGCTGAAAAGCGGAAACCATTTTGGTCGGCCCATTTCGTAAGCTGATTTATTGTAATTTGGAGTTGCCTTTCGCAGGATGATAGGCTGGAGGCTCGGCATGCAATTTGCAGATCATCAACATAGATGGAGTGCATGACTGTACGGGGTATAGCCCTGTTGATGGAGTTCATTTTCACTATAAACAGGGTGGTGCTCAAAACGCAGCCCTGTGGTACACTATTTTCTTGGACAAATATTCGTGACAGTACGGTGCCCAAACGTACTTGAAAAGTTCTATTCGATAAAAAATCGTGTAAGCAGTTCAGCATTCTTCCGCGAATCCCTAAGTTAGCTAGATCTCTGAGAATTCCGTATCTCCAAGTTGTGTCATATGCTTTCTCTAAGTCAAAGAAGACCGAGAGACAGAACTGTTTGTGTAGAAATGCTTGTCGTATTTCTTGTTCCAGCCTAACAATGTGATCAGTGGTGGAACAGCCCTTTTTGTATCCGCACTGGTGTGCGTCTATTAGGTGCTCCGATTCCAGAGTGAAGGCAAGTCTAATATTTATGATGCTTTCGTAAGTTTTTGCGAGGCAACTTGTTAATGCAATGGGTCTATAGCTACTTGGGGTTGTTGGGGGTTTACCAGGTTTTAGGAATGGTATGACTATGGCTTTTTCCAATCTTCAGGCATTATGCCAGAGTCCCATATTTTGTTGAAGAATTGGAGAAGTGCCTTTGCGGATGCTTGGGATAGGTGTGCCAACATTGTGTAGTGTATCTGGTCAGACCCTGTTGCCGTTTTTTTACCGGCAGAAAGTACCCTGTTCAATTCGTGCAGCGTAAGCGGAAGGTTATAACTTTCATTTTAGGTACTGCTAGTAGGCAATCTTTGTCTTTCTGCATTTTCTTTATATTTCAAGAATGTATTGATGTAATTTGCTGAGCATGATACCTTATGAAAGTGTTCTCCTAATAGGTTGGCCTGGTCTTCTAGTGTTGATTGTGTGTCTGGACTTGTAAGCAGTGGTATTGTGTAGGAGGAGTACTCTCCCTTGAACTTCCTCACCTGGTCCCAGATGTGTTTAAATGTGACTGAACTGTTAATTGATGATATGTATTTTTGCCATGAATCCTTTTCTGCCTGTCTTCGAATAAATCGGGCTCTGGCTTTTGCCTGTTTGAAGTTGATGAGGTTGGCGTAGGTGGGGTATCTTCGTAGAATTCCCCAGGCCTTATTTTGTAGTTTTTTGGCATCAGTACACTCGTTTGTCCACCAAGGATTGAATTTCTTGCGTACGATGCCGGATGATTGCGGTATTGCTTTTTCTGCTGCTAAGATTAAAACTTTGACGAACTCTTCGTTTAGTTCGTCAACAGAAAGCTCCGATGAGAAAACTTCATCGAGCTTAGCGTTTTCTGTGAAAACTGACCAGTTCGCTAGCTGCAGTTTCCACCGGCGTGGCCTGCTTGTTAGAGTTGGGTAAGATGGTACGAGTTTTATGATGCCGGGTTGATGATCACTACCATAAGACGTGTTGACGACGTCCCATTTAAAATCATTAAAAATACACGATGAACACATGGCGAGATCTAAGCAACTAAAAGTGCGTGAGGTTGGTGAAAAGTAGGTAAAAGCACCGGAATAAAGAAGGCAGATGTCATTTGATAAAATGAAATCTTCCACGGCTTGCCCTCTTGCGTCAGTTTTGTCGCTACCCCAAAGGGTTGAATGAGCATTGAAATCCCCAACTAAGATAAATGGTTTTGGCAACTGTTCCACTAGATTTTCTAGGTTTTTGGTGGTGAAAAGGGTGTGAGGTGGGATATACAGTGAGCAAATGGTGATGGTTTTGTATGATAGGATGGTGACGGCTACGGCCTCGAAAGATGTGTTTATTTGGACATCTCGCGTAGGAGTGCTGCCCTGCACCATTATGGCTACTCCTCCTGAAAGACGGTTGCAATGTTCGCGGTTCTTTCGGGCAACTTTGAAGCCTTTTAGGAAATGCTGTGTTTTGCACCAAGATTTGTCTCTTGGAGGCAAAAGGCTACTGGTGAGAATCTCTTAATGATGTCCTTTATGTCACCTAAGTTATGAATTAAGCCTCTAAAGTTCCAATGTACGATAAAAGCCATGGCAGAATAAAGTTAAGTAAATATACTTCTGGGGATTGATCGGTATAAAAGATGATAGGTGACAATATTAAGAAATAGAGAGAAATACGATAACCATTACGGTTATCGCTTTTTTATTGTGGTTACTGGGACTTTGTCCGTGTCCTGTTTGGTACGCTCGAGAGAGCGCTTGTCCTTCGGTGTCGATGACACCGAAGTTTTGTGGTCGATCTCCATTGCCTTGTCTGAGGCGCTGGAAGATCGAGAGTGAGGCGCTGAGAAACTGATCTCAGGCCTTGGCATTCTATTGAGTTTAGGGCCCAGGGAGACCGGAGTCTGCGGGCCCTTTGATGTGCATGGAGCAGCTGGCGCTGCTTCTTTTACGGGGGCGGTTTGAGTCACGATAGGACCACTGGGTGTGGTAGCGGTCGACTCCTGAGGCCTTTGTGACGCTGCCCCCGACTGCGTCACATCGGCGTAACTTCTGTGGAAAAGGTACGATAGCCGTGTTCGCGCTTCGCTGAATGATATTTTTTCTTTGACGATCAGAGCGATCACTTCTATTCCTTTTTTCCAACATGGGCATGACCGGGAATACGCTGGGAATACGCTGATTTGTGGTCGTTTGCGCTGCATTTTGCGCATGTTTCTTTGCCTCTGCAAGAGTGCGAGGCGTGTCCGAATCTCTGACATTTGAAACAGCGTCTGGGGTTGGGAATGTAGGATCTGACATTTATTCTTAAGTACCCAGCCTTAAGAGAGGTGGGCATCCCAGCCTTAAGAGAGGTGGGCATTTCACATGTTCCAAAGGTTAGTATTACGTGTTTGGTGGGCAATTCCTGATTATTGCGACGGATTACAAACAAGCCCTCCCGACGCCAGCCGTACGCTGTCACTATAACCAAATGTAATTATCCAAGGTGGGATACCTACACAAGGTTAACCCTTGCCGCCATGAATATCGGAAGTAAACGGAAGAGAGTAGAAGACAGGACAGATAAATAGTAAGAGATAAAGACGAAGATGTAGGGAGAGAGAGATAGGAAAAGGCGACTGCCGATTTCCCCTGGGTGGGTCAGCCAAGGGGTGCCGTCTACGTGAAGCCGGGGCCAAAGGGGTGTGTTGCCTCTGCCGGGGGGCCTTAAAGGTCCAATCACCCAGCGTCAGCTCAACCCCCAGGATCCCCTTTTCCCCGGACACGGCAAAGCCACGCACGGCTAGGCGTGGGAGGGAGTCAAAACTCCCCCGTTAGCTCGGGTCCGTGGTGTCGCTACACACCAAACGCCTGCTTGCGCAGGCGCCTTTGCGAGATAGCAGCTTATTTAGTGCAGCTAGATCGATTACTAGTGATTAATTGTAGACGGTCCGTCTGATGTCATCGGGATCATTTTGAAAATGTCTTACTGCAGCACTAGTGTTCTTGTGCATTTACCTTAATTTCTCAGTAAGTAGGGCACTGTTGCTGATAATATTGTCGTTTTAAATGTTTTCATACATTGAGCTTCCACTCTGATGTAAATTGCTAATTGACTTTAGTGTCCCTTTAAGTAATTGAGAAAAAAAGTTATTTATGCAATAGCCACGTAATGCCTTTTCAAAGCTCCCGTGAAATGCAGCCGCTCCGCCAAGTTTGTGATCAAACCCACAATTTCCCTAGGTATACACCGTGAAGTCCCTGGCCCGCTGCAGCGCTTCCGGCTTAGAGTTTCCAAAATATACACTAGAGGCAACTCTGGCACAAGTATCTTAGGGAACTGCAACACACGGCGCTTCAACGAGCATAGGAATAATAAGTAGTACACTGATTTGTTTGATCTTTGTACTTCTGGCTCCATGTATGTTCGTGTGGCTTGGAGCTGCTTTCTCACGAAACAAACATCAACAAATATTAAGCGGTCGTGTTTCACCACCTCATTCTTTTATGCTTACCATTTCAAATTGGGTCACAAAGTTCAAAATTGTTAGTTCTTTCCTTCCAAACAAAACGCAAACACAGGAATAAACGAAGCCACAAGCATGCTTCGCAGCTCGCAAGTACGAAGACTAGGCAAGTCCACGTACTACGCATAACTCTCATGGTCGCTGAATGATCGCAGCGCCAGAGTGCCCAGCAGTTAATTTTAGGAAACTCTATAGCTTCCGGTACTGCTTTCTGGCGCACAACCACACTGGCACTGACCCGAGGCCTTGCCGCTTTGCCTTTTGTTCATTGTATGATCGGCATGACGCTTCGCATTCACTTTAGGCGCTGCGCTGAGCTCCCTACAGTGCTGCAGAAATTAGGCACTTTCTAACTACCACTACCATTTTCTCACGCGCAGAGCAACACAGGTCACTTCAAGTGCCAAGGGATACTTTTTGCCAAGGACTCGAGCAAATGTGCTGCATAGCTTAAGTTCTGCATAAATGAGAAGTTGATTAGGGATAAACGAAAGTGTGACCATCTGTTTGCGTGCTAAGTGATGTAAATAAAGGTGTGCTACATCTCAATTTTTTGTTCCAAAAAAAAAAGTGTGGGCCAACCTATATTAGATTTTTCTTTCCTTGTAGAGCACTATAATTAAGGGTTGACCTATATTTGTGCCCGACCTATTTTCGAGTACATACGGTAATCTGAGGCCCATTCCCAACTCCCAAAAATCGCTTCAAGACACCAAAATATTCACACCTTGCTGCCGTGCTTTGTCAGGCATTGCCAGCATCACCTATGCTTGAGAACGGCTTTAAAAAGGCTGTCACTGGTTAAACAGTGTGCACTCGCTGTGGAGTCTTATTTATTAGACTGAGGTTGAATGCTGTGCCTGGCATGGCAGCAGTCAGAGCTTACCTGGTGGAGGGAAGGGCTGGCAAGGCTCGACTGGGCAGCGCAGCGTACATGGAGTGTGGCCGACTCATGCACTGTGCCCGCTGCTGCCACTCGCGGCTGAAGCCCTCGGCCTCTTCTGCACAACAGTACAGTTGGTTTCTCTCAACAAAACCGAAGTGATCGCTCACTTCCAATGTCACAAATACAAGCAGAGAAACACACCCACTTCGAAGGCAGCCATAGAGTGGGGGGAGGGAACAAGGTGATCTCTCCCCCTTCATACATTCCAATGAAATGAGATTAAGGCAAGGTTTGAGGCCAGATTAAGTACAGCCATTCATGCAAGGATAATAAATTACCGAAGCAAGCGCAGACTCCCAACTAAATGTTATTTTCATAAATACACATGTATACATGTGTTTGAAGTGTATGTAACATCATGTGGTGTCCACACTCTAAGTGGAGCAGCATCGAATGTACAACTTTTGTACTGTCTAAAACACGTTCTTGGGCTAGTTGGTGCATGGTCTAATATATAGGAGGCACGAAGAAAAGAGGACAAAAAGCTACAGGACTGGTGCCTTCTTTACTGTACCACAAAGTTTTAAGAACATTGCAGATAGCTTCACTGCCCCAATTGCAAGAACTGGAGCTAGAAATTTTGCTGGGACTTTCCTGTCCTGTTTGCAAGTTCTCTAGCTTCACTTTTCGAAGCACTTTGCAAAAAAACAAAGGGATGAGTCACACAAATGCCACTTTCATGCACGACTTGCTCAATAAAACAAGAAAAAGCACAAAATGTGCACCAAGTTTCCAAAAGACACGAAAAGTAGAACACAGCAAAGTAATAGACATCCTTGTGAATGAGGCCCAACAAAAAAGCAACACAAACATAGAAATTAATCAACGCCATGAACAGGCGTCACTATTTTTAACTTAAGCCTTACAATTCAGCACATGCACTTGTTCCCAGACACACATACAATCGAGCTCAATGTGATCTGCAACACAAGAATGTCGCCTGCCAAGCTTCAACATCACCCATAGCTTTTAAAAACCCTCATTTCCTCAACCACAGTGTTCTCGTATGAAAAAGCCCCCAAATAAAAAAATATCAGGGCTGCATGAATCGTAACATTTCAACTCGAATCAAATACGAATTGCATAGTGCCGAAGAGTGGCCAAGAATATCAAATATTGCATCGAATATCTCGTGCATTTAGACAAAACTTGTGCCACCACTTACAGCACGACAAAGGTAAAATAGAGACACCACAGCGTAAGTCTGCGTAGAAACGAGGATTCAGTTTCAACCGACTCTGGCTTCAGGAAACCAAAGCTTTTCAGCAACGCGTTGTCAATTGGCAATCGTGACAAAAGGTACTACATAAAATCGACAGACACCAAGTGTGAATGCCCTCTTGTCTCCTGCTTACCACTAAGATATTTCTCGCTCCATGTCCTCTCCAGTCTTCAAGTTTGTGAGGGAGTCAACCTGCAATAGCGGTAGCTCTGTGGCTTTCTTGGAGCAATAGGACTTTTTAGCCATGAAACGTCCACACAGCTTAAAAACTAAAGCCCTCATTTCAGCATAAAGCAGATCAACCAAGAATTCACTGTTTTGAAGGAGACACAGAAATTCATTAAAGATACCAGCAACATTTTCGATGAAAAGGGGCTTTGCATAAAGTGCTCTACCTAAAAGCACCTTCCTCAGACACTGACGCGTCTTCCCATACGACATGCTGAATCAGAAATCACAACATTCCTTACTGCTGCAAATTATTCAATGAGGCAATCTACAGTAGGTCCCAATGTAAGCAACCTAGAGCCCATCCGTCCGGACGCATGGCCGAATGAACACACGGACAGACACTTCGCCCCTCTCATCATCGTTCACTCTGTGGATATGATTTGATTTTTTTCTTCAATACTTTTTCTAAGTACCCATCTAACGACTATCACCTGACGAATGAACTGCCACAAAATGTTTCAGAATCAGTGCTGTGTTTCAGAATCAGAGCTGCTGTCTTCTATCCACCAGCCAAACATGATTAGCTCGGAGCCTCGAACACCAGCTCGCGGCAAGCTGTTCCGTCCAAGGTGCATTCTTGGGGAGTCACGCTAATTTACGCCAGGCTGGGGACAGTTGTCTACACCTCCCCATCTATTGACGCCCGGCTGTATCCCCCGCCCCCAACGGCGGGACACCGATTTTCCTCCCACGTGGCAGCATTAGATGGTCACAGGTCAAACCTAGTCCCACTCTGTCACCAGTGTAGTGCCGCGCCCGTTTTACCAATAGTATTTTGTAAGTTGGTGCAGTTTTGGCGCAAAAAGGTGATAACGTAGCAGGACGTAGCAGGTTTCCTGTCTTGGCACAGTTTGGCGCAATCAGCACAGCTATCCTATCACTGCAATCACAGAGAGTTTTGTGGGGCAGAGAAAGGATGTTTCTACAGCGCTTGTGACATAAGCGACCAGCTATGCAAGAAGTCTGTGCCTTCATTTCAATAGTGAAGTTGTGAAGAGCTTGGCACTTTCTCCATGAATTTTTAACGTGTGGAAATGACAATTTCCTATAATTGAACAATCATGCGCTCGCTTTTGAATCAGGATATCTGTAAAAGTTTAGATGAGAGACCTACTGTAACCATGTTAGCATTAATTTTAGCCACCCCACACTTATGAAGTTGCTCAATTGACCTTTCTCGCGTTTCAGATATAGGAGGACCTGGTTGCTCCATTCCCGCTTATTCCGATTTCCCGGCTCGTACACTCAAAATTGTGAAAACTGGAAATGCCCCAATAGGTAATACGGTCCACTTACCACGCTCCCGGAAAATATGATTATTTAACAGCAACATTCGCCATTGCGGCAAGCTGATCGAATGATATGCTCCGCAAGAGAAAGTTCTCATTCAGGTGTGGAAAAAAACAATCACGCATACTTGTGAAGGGCCGAGTGGCGGACTGCTCCCACACGGCGATGATGGTTTCTTTGCTGAAAGGCCCAGAGCATCTAGGTGGCTTTCAGCTGCCGTCACCAGTAGCAAACACAAACTCGCCGACTCTGAAGTGCCTACCGGCTGTTCTGTTGCCATTGCTTAGTGCATAATCAATCACTTTCAACTTGAAAGCAGCCATGTAGCTTCTGTGTCCTCCCATAGAGCAACAAGAGCACAGACAGAACGGACTAACACCACAGAACACCACCACTACCAATATTCATATACTAACACGCCGCAACGCACACTTGCCCTTTTGAATTGGCTTAGAAGTAATTGGGGCTTCGTGCGTTGAATATATTGTGTGACAGAGGAGGCGCTGGTGACACTTCCTTGCTCGCCTGTCATGTGGTGACTTGGGAACATATCGCTTCTCGTCGACGCGATGCACTAACTGCACACTTATTGGGACAGCGCGACAAGTGAAAAGGTTAGCAGCTGTTTCAGGAAGTGCGGTATTTGGCGGCAGCTTGCATCGAAGGATACGAAGAGCAGCGAAGACAACTTTGTGGCGTGCGCGTCTGACATTGACGACAACATCGATGAGTTCCTCTACAGCGGTTCCAAAATGTGACCGCAGCGCGATTTGTCGCCAATCCACCGTGGTAGGTTGAGCCACTCCTCTTGGGTTCAACCAACCAACCGACTGACCGATGCACCGTTCCAGAGAATACCTAACCATTCACTGAGTTTGGCTCAATAGATGACAACATCCTCACTTGCGAGCCGCAGTGTTGCAGAGATTGTCGCGGAGTTGGTGTGGGGCAACTCAGCGAAGAGGTGGGGAAAGAGACACCGAAAGACAGCAGCGAGAACTAAAGCGTGTGCCGACTGGCTCACTTCACTAAAGCTATTGCTTGAGTGGAAGCTTTTAAGAGCTTCTTTCGCACAAAAACAATAAAAATGCAGAAAAGCGCCTACAATGCGTACAGAAGGAGCTTTTCTTGTCCGAGGGTGAGAGGCAGCAGCATCAAAAATTACTATGTTTCTTTTGAAAAATAAATGTTTTTGGCCTTACACGTCTATTTGGACTTGTCAACATCAATTTTTGCTGCATTCAGACTGTACGTTTTCTCAAATCGTATATCTTACGCATTTTTTTCAAAAACTTTACAATGTTTCTACTGAGGTTCTACTGTATTTGTCCTGTCAAATTATTCACAACTTCAAATACACATGAACCCCTCTGTATGTGCACTGGAAAGCAATTCTTGTCTTTTACGCGAGGTGTCTTTTAGACGCGAAGTACCCCTTATGCGATTTCTTGTCAACGCATTTTTATGTAGGCGCCCTGGTATTTCTTGTACCCAATTGTGTGCTACAACAGTGTGTCTTATAAAGGGTTGGACTGTATTATATACTTGAAGGTCCAATCAAATTATTCGATTAGGTATTCTTCAATTCAAATTTCAAGTGCGATTATTCGTAAACCCTTCAAAGATATCTGTCATGTCCTGGGGTACTGAAACAGTGACGAACATGAGGTCAGTTGAGGCGCGAGCAGGGTGAATGCTCAAGCAGTGAAATAAATCTGTTTTGTAACACAATGCAGCAGCATCCTTCTTAAATAGGTGAGCTCATAACTGCTAATGGGAGCTATGGGTGATCATAGAACTCGCGAGGACATGCACCCTCATGCTGCAAATCACATTAAAAAAAAAAGCCCGGACATTTCGAACAAATCGAATTATTGCTCGTATGAAACAGGAGTAATACCCTACCCAAATGCCATGCAAAGGGATGTTTTTGAACAGCGTGTCTGAAAATGCAGCTGGGAATCAGCGTGGCTCACCCTCATCCAGGTTGACATACTCTACACTCTGGTCCTCTTCTCCCGTCACGCGATTGCGCTTGCGTCCCACAATGTGTGCCCGGTCATCCAGGTGGTGGCCGATGGTCAGCTCCTGCAGCCCTGACCGACTGTCCTGCAGCGATCGGCGGGTTTCCTTCACCTGAAAGTGACACTTGGCAGTCAGCCCGCGCATACAGTCCACAAATAATGATTTGATTAGTACTGCTGACACAGCACTGCCTCATCATAACCCGAATTAACAAAAAGCAATGTTTATTGGCACTTCACACGATATACGAAGGCAACTACTGAACTTCGACTTTGTAAATGTGAACACACTGCAAACATACTAATGATTTTGACTTAGTTGCAGCAAAGTCCCCAACTGAGTATCATAGAGCCTGATGTGTTCGCCGATTTTTAATTTGTAGTGGCTCGTCCTTTGCTCATCGGTTAGTATGTACTGCATTAACATTTCGTGACATAAAGGTTAACTGCACCTTTATGTCACCGACAACAGTGTACCGCGAAAGGTGTTCCGCCTTTTTATAGTGGCAAAGACATAGCACTAACTTCTACCAATAACCATTAGAAAAGAATAAAAGTGAGACAATGGAAAATGTAGACTGTCCTATCACAATAAGATCTTCAGCGATTTTCTCACAGTGCTATACGAAGCCTAACTGCGCAATTCTAGAAGGCAACAACCGATGTGCACTATGCATAATGTAAACAGTGCACACTGGTTGCGACTGTTCACGCTGCCCTGCACGAGCTGCTATTTCGTGTGGGACAGCTAAAAAAAATGACCTTAGACCGAGGTACCTCACTCCACTTACACCATCACGGACAGTGCGCGTATCAGGTGCAGAAAGCAAATAGCACTGTTATAAGTGTACTGCACAGCTTTATTATGCGACAACACAAACTCGCTGCATCACCACTTACTGTCACCTTTTTCTGCATGACCCCTAGAGCGTTGCAAAGATGCACCTTACTTACAAGAACCTAGTCACAGCCGCGCTGACACAACAAGCTAATCACTGCACGGTCTAAAGGGGAACTGTAAGAACACCCGCATGGCAAGCCCGGCATGGGCAGCGTGATCGGAGTAGGAAACACGATGCCCACAAACAGCAAGAAACGATGAACTATATGCAGCACAGCATTTCAGTGAAACAGAGTTTGCACAAAGCACACTGCAGTTTAGAAGCGCACATATGTAGGGTGGTCCATTCGTTGCTGTCAGACACTAGGCTCCTGGCCCTGTAATAGTTTCCGAATGTTGTCGCTCTAACAATCAAGCCAGAAAGCCTCAATTTGCACTTCGCCAAAAGAAAAAAGATTTGCAGTGGGTACATCATGCAATATTTCCTGTGGCTGTGAACTTGGTTCTGTGTTGGCAGCGATGCATGCCAGAAGATGTAAATAAAGAGACAGCAGGCGGAGGTAACACGGCGAACCCATTTTGATTTTACAGAAACTGGCAAAACATGAACAAACCCTCAATAGTCACTGAAACAAGGAATAGGCACACAACAACTGGCCGTCCCACGAAACCAGAACTGATACTGATCCAAATAAAGTTTGAACCTTAGCCCTAATCTGTCTCCAGCCAAGACGGCGTCTCAGTGGCTACTCTCATACGCTCCCGCAAGAGAACATTCTTGCTGTTCCGATGCCACTTCCAGAACTACAACAAAGTGGTACCGTCGTTGAAGTCCTCCTGAAAGACGTCATTGAGCGAACTGCTCGTCTTCGTTGCCGGTGTCCCGGTCTTATTTGTCGTTTTTAGCCCGCTTGCTAGAACTCAACTTGTCCATGGCCTCATTTATGACGAACTCCGATAACAGGTGTAGGTCACATTCATTATGGCTCGAAGTAGAAGAGCTGTAGTCCCCCCCCCCAAAAACTGCTCTGCAAGGTCGCGGTGAGTCCGGGCAGCCTCACTCGAGTCTTCCGAGCCACTTTCCGGAATCCTGACGCCGACATGCTCTACTGCTTCCGTTGCTGTAGCGACGCTCGCCTTCCTCATCTTCACAGTTCTAAGCTCCACAGCAAAGTGCCCGGTCATTCTCTGTTATTTTCCATCCCGTATCGGGTCACGTGCCAAGAGCCTCTCTCTGACCAATCTCACATGTGAACGTGGTGCGTCTGCGCACCATCCGAAGTTTCGCGCATGTGCCTCTTGCCCATGACATTGTTATATGGGCATCTCATCTTTGAAGAGAGAATCAATTTTGGAAATGCCACCATGTTGCCATCCTCTGTCTTTTTCACATGTTTTACTTCAGCACTGAATCATCATGCCCTTTCCACACATCTCACTGCACTGGTTGCGTTGCGCTAGAAGCTGCACTGCATTCCAAGCCTCCTTTTTATATAAGCAGCCCCTGAAGTGGCCTTTCTCATTCCATTTCCACCATCTAAGTTTTTCTGAAGCTATTCAGAAACATCCATGTATAGTTTTATTAACAACCAATCCTCATATTATACCACTAAAGGGGGACTAAAACCACTAAATATAGTGCTGTATGAAGACAAAAATTTTCAGTGCAAAGCAACTTCGAATGTTGAAGTGAGAGAATGAATTGAATAATTTTCAAATATATTCCGAGAATATTTTTTACTAGGTTGACGAAGTGCTGGCGAGGTGGTGTTTCATATTTGTCTAATCAAGAATAAGGCACTGCAGCGGCCAAATTGCATTTATGCGGATGATTTGGTGGAAACCAAGTGTTGCCGACAACACTTCACGCATGAAAAGCAAAGAAGCCATTTCCTCAGACTCTTTCAACTTCTGGGGAAATTGCCTACTGCCATGTGCTCCCCTAAAATCTGGAGTTCCAAATTCGCCTCGCAGACATCAATACATGAGACATCTGAAATTTTGTATCTAGAAATCTTTAGACTTCCTGCACAAATTTCAAGTGCAGGACAGCATTAATTGAGCCCCCAACACATCTATCATCTCTACATTGGAACCAGCATTTCCTTGAGTTAACACATTTTGCAATTTTAGTAGAGCTTGAAAGGCAGCTTTGCCACAATATGTAAGTGTGATAGGGTCATGCATATTTAAAATCTGAAGGGGCCTTTTTCAATCAGACGAAAAACGTTCAACTGTAACAAAGCCTAAAAGGAAGCTTTGCCACAAAGCGAGCGGGATGGATTGACGCATATTGGAAATTTGAAAGGGTCACTTCCAATCGGTTATTGACTGTATTTGTCTTTGGGAAGTTGATGATGATGAGTAGGGCTCAATGGCGCAAGGGCCAATTGATGGCCAAAAAGCGCCATTTCAGTGACTAGAGATGTGGACAATGATATGGTGCGTGGCTGTATAGAGGCCTTAAAGTTCCTCGCGCTAACGCGGGTAAAAAAATAACTATTAAAATCATGACAGTAGTATGATACGGATAGTAAAAATGGGTGACAAAAGGTTTTGATAATAAAAGCATGTGTAAAACTATTTGGCACTAGCACAAATGGCTCACCAGCACCCTCGTGTCCAAGGGCCGTGAGGCAAGTGCCTTTCGATGTAGCCACTGCAGCAGCAACCTCTCGAGAGGTGACGCTACGCAATGCCTGGGTATATTACATGGTAGAAACGAACATCTCTTAAAAAGCTAGCAACGATTTATGAGTGAAAAGTGGTTCCCTACCGACGAACATTGCAGGGTGTAATGGTATATGTTGTCGGTAGGATAATGGAGAGTGCTGTCTTCTTAGAGTGTCTAATTGTTCACGCTGGATTAAAATGTGAAGAACTGTTAGTGCTTCACCACATAATTCCCACAATGGTGTATTGCCATTGGACAAAACATACGAGAGTGTAGTGTATGTGTGTCCTATCCTGAGCCTCGTTAGTGTTACCTCTGTACGACGTGATTTTAATACCGGTGGCCAATAGCCGAGGTGTGGCTTAATAACGTGTAGCTAGTTTTGTGTGTGTCTATCCCAGTTGCTCTGCCAGTAGTCCCTGAGCTTTCGTTTGAGAGACGGTTTAAGATAAAGGGCTGGGATTGATATGGGTGTAGTGGCACTGCTTTCCTGGACGGATGCAGCAAGCTGATCCGCCGTCACGTTTCCTTGGATCTCACAGTGCCCTGGCACCCAGCATACTACAACATGTTGTTTGAGTGTAACATGTGTAGAGTGAGCATAAAATGGAGTAAAATGAGATGAGGACAGGGTTTTTTCGTTTGTTAAGAGTTTACAGAGCCATTACTACACTGAGGGAGTTCTTATAAATTACTGCTTTTTGTAGTTGTAGTTGTTTAATGTGTTTAGCGGCCACAAGTATTGCGTAAGCTTTCACTGTGAAGATACTTGTGTCTGGATGTAGAGGGCCAGCATCCGAGAAAGATGGGCTGACAGCAGCGTAGGACACAGAGGAGTTAGAGGCATCTGTAGAGAACTCGGGACGTGTGTATTTGTGTTGAAGTTCCAGGAAGTATGTTTGGATATGGGCAATGGGCGCGTGTGTTTTGCAATTTTTAGGAAAGACACATCGCATTCTATAGTCTGCCACTGCCACGGCGGCGGGTATGCTACAGGAGCCAATAAACTGTGTTCAAGAGACACGCCAGTTTCCTCAGCTAGACCCTTCAGGCGAACTGAGTAGGGCTGCCTCATCGAAGGCCTGTTTTGAAACAGAATGGAGCTCGACAAATCATTAATAGGGGAGTATGAAGGGTGCTTCTTGTCTGCTTTCACCTTAAGGAAATATACAAAGGACATGTAAGTTCTCTGCAGATGAAGCGACCACTCATTTGACTCAACGCAAAGGCTTTCTTTGGGGCTGGAGCGAAAAGCACCCGTAGAAAGGCGGATGCCCAAATGGTGCACAGGGTCCAGCATCTTCAAAGCACTTTGAGTCGCAGACTGATAAACAACGGCCCCATAATCTAAGCCGGTGCGAATGAGGCTTCTAAATTCATGAGACATTGCCTATCACTACCCCACGTAGTACGTGACAACACTTTTAGAACATTCATGGCTTTTAAACATTTTATTTTTAAATACTTAATGTACGGTATGAAGGTTAACTTGTGGTCCAAGATTAGGCATAAGAATTTATGCTCGACATTAACAGACAGACGTTGACCATTCAGTTGAACGTCAGGTTCTGAGTGCATGCCTCTCTTTCGGGAGAAC